ACAATTTGCATCTCACCAATGGATTTCGACATTTTTTGGAAAGAGTTGTGATCTAACTTCTTTCTTCAAGTCACCTCACGTATCAATTGTGCATTAACCATCTTGGATGTCCATGTATCTAGACGTCCACTATAGCTTTGCATCTTCAAACAAATGCATAGTTGCCAAAGTGATATTGTCTTATTTTGTCGTCGTATTTGTAATGTAAAAATACTATTCTACGTTGAAGATAAAGTTCTCAAAGGGTAAATGACATTTCTGACACTAAAAGTTTTGGGTTTGGACTTTGAACCCTTTTCAAAATACTAAGCATGAAATATCCATTTCGGCCATCTCCAGTAGTTCGGCTCAGTTTCCACGGAGATTTGAGCTATCATCACTTCCGTGTGTGAGTCATTATGTTGACTCATCACTGTTGAGCTATCAATTTACTTTGAATTTGTTTTTGTGACCCATTTTGAAATCTCAATTATGTTAAAATACATCCTTGTCCCCATTCATTAAATATGGGACAATAAATTCTCACCAATACAATTGCTAACTTTTCAACAAACCATTGATTTCCACAAATCTCAATACCCATGTTTTCCATTATATGTTTGGCATTTGAAAAAAATAAACTTACCCAACTTGGACTTGGAATGGTTGAATCTCGAACTACAATGCATAACTGGTCCATGATTCATATATTGTACCGGGATTGAGCAATATCCAATCTCGGTCCAAGATTGTTAATTATCAGTCTTGGACCCAGACATCTCGGTCCAAGTTTCATAATCTCAGGCTGGGATTATATTAAATATCGATATGAGATTCACGAATCTTGGATCGAGATGTAATTCTAGTCTCGATCTTCTATGATTTATTTTAGAGTATATCTCATATTTTAAGTAGTTTTATCTTGTTTCCAGGATGCCTTATGTTTTTATAACATTAGATAAAGAATGGAGGGATAACAAAAAGGATTACATTGGTGGTCGTACGAGATGATTGACAGTGAATACTAGAACAACGTATGAACAATTTTTAGGTTACGCGTATAGACTAAGTAGCAAAATTCGGAAAATTTTGATATTATAATTAGGCGTGTATATCATTTTAAAATGGAAGTTTGTGTAATGGAGATAACTGGTGACAATCTTGTGTTTCTTTGTATTGGAGGAGATGTCTTTGGCTTGCTGATATACTATTAGGGTTGACTTTTTACTGCAGAAACATGTATCAGTGGGTCTATTTGACCACGATTTTGACTCATTTCCCATCATTATTTTCCAAAAAGGAGTACATATTCTTAGAGTAAAACATGCATAGAACATTTCTGTATAAAAGTCAAACTATGGTACTTTAGGAAAATTATGAGAAAAATGCGATCAAAGTTAGAAGAATATAACAGTTTTTTGTTTTGCAGGAATTGCACCTGGCGCAATTTTGAAGACCAACTTTGTCAAAACGTGTGTTTTGATTAATGAAGGGAAAGGAGAACTTTTCCTATGTGTTTGAATCAAGTTATAACTGTGAGTCTAAGTCAAATAGGAGTGGTTAGGTGTATCTCAACTCATTTCCACCTAAAAATGTGGGAAGTTCAATAACTCCAATGGCCTATATAAGAAAGTCATTCCTCCAACAGCAAATCATCTCTTCCAACCTCGTTTAAGCTTCATTTACTTTCTCATTCGATGTAGAACACGTTCTTAGGCTTTAGATTCAAGTTTTAGTTGTTATTTCCTTATATTTTCATACTTTTGCTTACCATATTGCTTTTAATTCAAGTTCTATCTTTTGTTCTGGTTTTATTTTGTTCTTCTTAAGTTCTTTAGCGAGTTTACGCTCTCGGCCTCACTCTCGAGAGAGAAGAGGGTAAAGCTAAAACTCATTTTACGGCTCGTTTATTCATTTTAATTCAATGAAAAATACTTCATTTATGTTTTCGTGCATTTTCTTTTCTTTAAAAATGTTCTAAATTAGTTATCGACCTCTTTGTGGAATTCCTTAGTCAAAATGATTTGATTTTTAACACGCTCGGGATTTGCCCAGAATTGCATTTGGCACTTTTTGGGTTGGTTTCTAAAAACTTCTCTATACATCTTTGTTTTCATTTTGCTAGTGGGAACTTGATTTATACACTAAAGCCCAATCTTGAGAAGGGTGAGTTAGGTAAAGTAATAGGAAACCAATATCTAATGTGACTTAGACATAAGCGTATAAAATATAGTCTTAGACATAGGCCCTCTAACCCATAATACAAATGAGTTGATAAATATTCTATAGAATTGTAATCACACATAGAGATATGATTGTAGGTTACCCTAGCCTCTGTAACAACCAAAAGCGGTAGTGAAAGGGTAGAACTCAGTTTCCCAAGAAAAGCCAGGATTGCGCCTGGCGCATTTTCCCAGCATCGTGTATTTTCCATGTTTTGCATCAAAGCTAAAGTAGGAAGCAAAAAGGTTGAGTTTTATTAAATTGCTTGATAATTAAAACCCCAAACAACAACATTTCATTACTATTTTCTTCATAAACCATAATTGCATATTTGAACCATTTCACGGTATTACTTGATTTTGAAAAGCAACAAGTCCCTGCGGATTCGACCTTGGATTACTCCCAAGTATTACTTGTGACCGTGTGCGCTTGCACAAGTCTCTAAAAGGTAGAGAAAGTCCCAACATATACATATCTATTGTGCCGAAGCAAGTTTGTTGAAATGAAACATACATTCCATCTTTCCCATATATGATATAGCTAGGTCAGCACATGCCCTCACTTCATACCTCTTCATCACACCCCTTACACCCATCCTATAGTCATATAGGTCATGTTATATATTGCTAACACCGTTAAATTCAAATGTTATTTCATGTAATTTGGGAGATGATAGAGTGCGTGATTAGTATACACAAAAAGGGCGAAATGATTACGAAAAGTTAAATGATGAAAGCAATGAATCATACGACCCATTGACAAAGGTAGAAGAAGAAGAGATAAATGAGTATGAATATGGAGAAGAAATATGGAGATGAAGATGATGATGAATATGGAGAAGAATATGGAACGATGCACTCGATGAGGAACCAATAAACAATGAAACTACAAGGGATGAAGAAGTTGTATACGGTGGTGAACAAAACATTTCGGTGCCCAATAGTCGGACAAATGGTATGTGATGGACCTATCAGACAGTTTGAGGATGAGAAACTATGTCACGGTTCGTGAATGTTCTATAACTTATGATGTTAAGGTGGGTTGTGTATTTAATTCAAAGCAAGAGTTTATTATGAAAATGTATATATAAGCAATGAAACAGAATTTTAAATCTCGAGTAAAAATGTCGATGTTGAAACTATATATCCTACGATGTATTGATCCTAGTTGCAAATAGAGGCTTTGAGCTACGAGAATATGTGGATGAGATCTATTCAAGAATAAAAAATATCCCAATGCCCATACTTGCCCTTTCGAACTTTTGAAACACAACCATAGGTAGCCAAGCATTGGATTGTCGGACATCTCGTACAATCGAAGTTCATAGATGTCTCTCGCACATATAGACCAAAGGATATTATACATGACATGCGGCATGAGTATGATGTGAATTTGAGTTATAATAAATCATGGCGGTTGAGCGAAGAAGTGCTCTGACTTATCAGAGGGAAGCTAGAAGAGTCAATAGGGTCTATTACCTACATATGAGTGAATGCAATCTATTCAAGACTAAAAAATATTCACTGTTTTTTAATTGGAACTATAAGAGGGAAAATATTTCAAATGTATGTTTATGGCCTTGAGTCCTTCAATTAGAGATTTTTTAAATTGCATCTAACTAGTGTTGGTTGTTAATGGTTCCTACCTGGAGGGGAAGTTCAAAGGGTATTATTATCGTCTACTTCTATTGATGCTAATAAACAACTTTACCCAATTTCCTTTGCGATTGTCAGTGGTAAGTTTGATGAATCATGAAAATGGTTTATGACTCAAATAAAACGTGTTCTCAGCATAGTTGAGAAAGTGGTCTCCGTATCTGATCAACATCCCACAATTGTTGAGATCTTTGCAACTACATTTCATGCCTTCTGTATCCATAACATTAAGATGAACGTGATGACAAAGGCCACTTTTCTTTAAAACTGCAGAAAGGCATTTCTTGAGTCCATTTTTCAGTCGAATTGGGGGGCAGGTTGGTGTGTTGCTAGGTGTAAGGAAATATTAGGAGGATTTTGGTGTTGAATGATGGGCAGGTGCTTTCTAGTGTGAGCTGAGATACACTCAAATGACCATTAATATCAATGAGTGCATGAATTCAATATTTAGGCACGCGCGTAAGTTTCCAGATACGGTTCTATTTATCATGCTAGAAGTGTGTTGCAAAAATAGTTAGACGAATCGTATGTATTAAGGTGCGCGGAAGTAATGCTTGAGCACACAAGCACTAACATACAAAAGTCAATTTCATTAATCTCAAAAGATAGAATTAGACATCAAATTACCTTTAGGTCTAATACCGAGAAGCAAAGAAACTTGCTCCTTTTTTAAAGACCAAAATGCTTCAAAAATTTGATGACCAAGGAATATTTTTAAGGCAAATCTGAAACAAGAATTGCATAATGGACACGATACACTTCGCAATTGGAAAAATAGCACTCAATTTTGTTTCACCCAAAATTAACCTTCGTTACACTGATTTGTAACATGTCAAGTTATTAAACTCGTATGATTTGTGTTTTTCAAAGATAAAAAGCCAAAACCAAAAAAAATAAATAATAATAATAACAACAGACAAACTCAAAAAAAAATTCATTATTTTAAATTTTTTTTTTATTTTACTTACGGTTTCGAAAACATATTTTAAAATCTAAAAATAAAAAATTGAATTGATTACCAATCAACCCTATCTTTTATAATTTATCAATTTCATGGCTTAGGTTTTAAAAATATTTTTCCCTTATATTTCCTGTCACATAACTAAGCTCTAAAAAGTCACATGACAATACAACAATTTTACATAGCTCTTTTATCATATTGAGTTTCATTTTTAAATTATTGAACACATCTCCTACAACATAGAATTTTGAAACAATGTAGCTTGCAGTTTTACACCGTCAAATGCAAAAGAGAGACTAAAAATTGTGGTTCAACCAAACATTCAAGATTTAGAGGGGTAGCCACATCGAATAATTTTCCGAGGCTCAGGCACTCCACATCCTCTTCTGTTCCTCAAAGCTTCCTACAACAGCAGATTGCTTTTCATCACCCAAAGCACTTGCAAGAACTTCATAAAATGCTAGTGGTTCAACACTCTCCAAAACCCTCACCCACTTCCCTTTCTTCTCATCTATAATTGTTTGCCCTACTTTTGATTCACCTCCATTTGTGACTACCTTGAGAGGCTTGAAGCTAAATTCTTTCTTCAGATTCACATGTTTCCCAGCTAAGCTCACTGCCCCAAGGACTTCTCCTAAAAACATGTCCTGTCAAAGTAAAATGTATACAAATGATTGATTTTTCGGTTCTCAGGAAGCAAAAACGATGATGAGAAAGAAGGTACATTTCTTAACAATTTTGTTTTTGGTTTTCTAATTTCAGAATAATGCTTGTTTGTTTACCAAACAAAGAAATGGTTAGTAAACTAAAAAAAAAAAAACCGGAGAAGTTAAATTACAAATTTAATCTATGAATTTGTTTGTTAATGTCAATTTAGTCCCTACACTAGAAGTTCCAACTACATTCCTGAAATTTGAACTACGATTCTATATAATGTCTGATATTAACTAAATGATGACATGACATATTAGATAAATATTGGGTGATTTTGGATGGATGGAAGAAAGTGGATAGCTAGACAAATAGGGTGGCACGATCTATGAAAGAAATTTGATATGTTGCTTGAAAAAGGGAGTTTGTTGGACATTCTACTTTATCTTGTCTAGTTGTCCACTTTCTTATGTCACATCATGTCAAATCAGTCAATATGTCTCCAATAAACATGTCACATCAATATTTAATTGACACGACAGGGACTAAATAGACCTACAGTTCAATGTTCATAATGGTAATTGCAATTTTTAAAAGTTTAGTGACTAATTAAATTGACACCATCAAAATTCATGGTCTAAACCAGTGATTTAACCTTTTCAAAAACAAGAAAGGGAATGTTATCAAATGTAATCTTAATATTTCATGCCTTTAACTATTCAGTTTTTCCCAGCTGGTGTACCAGAAAAAAGGTACTAAAAAAAAGCTCTAGTCAGGTTTCGATTACCCTAATTCTCGACTGAGGATGAAGTTGAATATATAAAGAGCCTAAAATTCAGATTGATTCTAAATGCATGGACCACTTAAAAAATCCATATAATGTCCGAACACCAGCAGAGATTTAAAAAAAAAAACAAAAAAACAAACAAACAAACTTTGAGAAACTACAGCCTGATTGACAAATAAACAAGAGCAGAATTTATTATATGATCTAGGTTCAGAAACTTTACCACATGATGGTACTGATGATGGTGCTGCTTCAGGTGATATAGTCTCGAGAATAGACGTTGAGAAAACCGTGCTTCGGGAGTTTTGTTTCTGAGCTTCAACCTTTTGAGGATCTTGTGAAAAGAACTTACTCTCCGTTGTACGTTCAATGGGATGAGTGTAATGTTCAATCCCGAGCCTAAAACCAATTCTGCAGCCGTGGGGTCAAGAAAAAAGTTGAATTCTGCATATACATTTGAAGGTATAGTGAACACATTTCCCTTGTCACCACCAAAGGTTATATGTCCTCCAGTAATATATACTTCCTGCAACAAAGAAATAGTAATATTAATAACTTGATGGTTAAGTTGCACATTTGCCCCTAAACTATCAAGATTGTGTTATTCAGGGTTGTGTTTAACAAGTCTCTGAGTTTTAAAAAGTTTTTAATAGGTTTTTAAACTTTCAATATTGTGTATAATAAATCCTCGAGTTTTAATAACTACCAAATAGGTCCCCCTGAACTTTCAATAATAGGTCCCTAAACTTCTCTAAACTTTCAAATAATGAGTTATTAGACACTTTTAAAGTTCAGGGACTTATTGGATATAAAATTTATAAATTAGGGGTCTATTAAATACAATATTAAAAGTTTGGCTATTACACACATTCAAAATTTAAAGACTTATTGAATCTTTCAAAGTTATGGGAAAAAACATAGCTTAACCTAACTTCCTTATTATTTTACCATTTCATTAGTGCACCATTCAAAATAATCTAAGATTGTTGTTGCCTATAGACTTCTGTTGACTATGGGTTTTATGGGAATCATGGAAGCAATTTATATATTAGATACTAGGGTTATGGCCTCTAAAATACTAAATACTATATAGTCTCTTAATCTTCGTCAAGACAGAGAAAATTATTCTCATTCAATTTGAGTTGAGAATGACGTTTGTGGTTGTAGATTTTTTGCAAAAGAATGCAACATTATCAAACTAACGGATATTACATTTTAGTTCCTAAACTTTGCACTAAAAAAAAAACTATTTTAATCCATTGTTAAGTTTTTTTATTTAAAAAGTTAATAGTAAACACTAAAATGGTGTTTTTCTATTTAAGTTCCTTCGGGGATGAAAATCAAATGGTTGAAGTTTAGGAACTAAATAGATTAAGCATTAAAGTTCAAGAACTTTAATATGATTTAAACCTTAAATTCTAACACACTACACTTCAAATAAAATCATTCCATACAAAGAAAAAGAAAAGATTTTAGTACCATAGACTAAATACACTCTTTTTTAAGAAACAAGAAACTTCTGATTGGAACATTTTAGTAGGCTAACCTTAACACATGAAACAAATAATTGGATTTTCACATCTACAAATTATCATAATGCAATAAGGAAAAAACATTAAATTGTTTTCATTAATGCAGATTATCTTCTTACGAATTTGACATGTCTATGCAATAAACAAAAACATTACGGTCGTTTACCTGAATCCTTGAGATTATGGCTTTAGTACGAACAATTTGAGCGAGATTCGTCAAGGGTCCGTTTGTTAAAACCGTAATCTTCTCCCCCGAATCTAGAGATCGAACAATAGCTTTCCAAACTTCAAGTGCAGACATTTGTCTGAGTTCAGGGTGATCAGTATCTCTAACTGCTCCAAACTTGACTGAATTTTCAGCCGTATATCTGAAGAAAAAAAAATCATGGAAGTTTGGTTTTGTCCATAATTTGATCTCTAATGCAATAGCAATGTTGAATGCATTTGAAGATAAGACTAAGTAAAATAATCCATAAAGATCCCAACAGCAAATGAAATTTCTAAAAATGAAAAAGAAAAAGTCTAATGATTGACCAATTGGAAAACAGTCAAGCTATGTTATTGAGTGAGATTTAGAATGAGCTTGTGATGACTTTTGAGAGTAGTAATTTTAATTGAAGCACATATTCCCTACGAGCACTTTTGGAAGAAGCATTAATTGAGTGCTTCTCTAAAAGTACTTAAAAGTGCTTTTAATAGTGAGTTTAGGATGACTTCCCAGGGAAAAAAAGGAATAATTAAGTGAGAAACTTCTTCTATGAACACTTTTGTAAGAAGTTCTAAGTGCTTCTCCTAGGATTTTCATCTTTCCAAATTCACCCTTTTAAGTTCGTTTAGAATTTCTAGAAGCACTTTTGTCTATTTAACCAAAGACCATCAAAATTTTGAATAGTACTTCTAAGTTTTAACTAGCCAAAATCACATTTTACTCCCCAAAACCCATACCAAACCCATACAAAGTCTGGATAGTTGTTATCTATTGCTAAACAATCTGCAAGTCATGAGGAAACATACAGCTCTTAGAAAAGCTACCTTCTAGGACTACGAGGCAAGTCCCGAGCGAGTCCGTAAAGTGTATCTGAGTCCAAGAAGCCACCACTACCATGAGGAATTGCCTTGATATACTTGCAGTCTCCAATAGGAGGAAATGATGGATGTGCTTCTCCAATGGCGAATATATCTCCAAGACCAACTGGAATGTCGTCACGTCCCATCATGTGTAATACATCATATACAACGTCTATTGTTGCAGCCGTTGCCCATCCGTTTGGGCTAATTATTATTCCCTGAGAAATGATATGTTAAAAGAACAACAAAAAACAAAAACAAGAAAAAAAAAGCTGTCATGCCTTAGCTTCATTCATATCAAGTGAGGCAATGAAATGGCCCCTTTTGAAAAAGATTTGAAGTTCTCTCTGAAAGGCACTTTATTTTTACACTTTGAAAGAACATTCAGCATCCAATTCTTGGTCTTTGGAATAAACTTGAATTAACCCTTCCCCTAGAAGTAGAAACTATAACATTTTGATTGATTTTGTTAGTTTCTTTGGGAAATCTACATAAAGTTGAAAGCATAAACACTTGTTTGATAACGTTTTTGTTTTTTGTTTTCTTTTCAGAAAGTGTGCTTAGCTTATTTACTAACCTTTTTCTTTGTTCTCTAATGTACTTTTCAAAATCGTTTTTAAGATCATGCCCAAAATTTTAAAACTAAGGTCTCAATAACCATTTCGTTTTTAATTTTCTGTTTTGAAAATTATGCTCGTTTCCTCACAATTTCCTTGGTATATTTTTCACATTTCTTAAAAACTAGTTTTCAAAACTAGGCTTAGATTTTGGAAACGTTTTTACAATGTAATTGTAGATAACAAAACAAAGAAACACATAGGTGAAAGCATTGTTCATAAGCTTAATTTTTAAAAACAGGAAACCAAAAACATTGGTTATCAAATCGAGAATAAGGAAATAGTTTCCAAAAACCTTTTTTTTTCTTCTAAATTTCACTAAAATTACAAGTGTTATTAGAAAGTAAAAAATAAACAACAAGAACATTGGTAAGAGTAGTTTTTATAAGAGTAATTTTTAAAACAAAATTGTTATCAAATAATGTCATAGTAATGGGTTTCGAGAAACTAAACACAAAATAACACCATACCTTTAGGTCGATGATTTCAACTGGTGTCTTCAAGAGATAGAGAAGAGTGACAAAATCTCCAGTGCTCATATCCATGTCAAAAACAACTGGCTTTCCTAGTAATTTCTTTCCAAATTTTGGTCTATATAGTACTTCCTTGTAGTTAGGAAACTGAGCTCTAAAATCAAACCTCCCCGTCTGTTGCGGACTATTAAGAACCTGCATTTTTTTTCAAACGAAACGATGACATTTCATTGACGAAATAAATGGGGTATAAAATGTAAGGATAGGCAAGACGCTGTCATATTCGCCTAGTTATCCTACTAACCATATGAAATCATAGAAATGCAAATTATGGTACAAGCATTGAAGTTTTAATTCAGTTATATTTGAAAAATCCAACACTTCGGCACATAATCTGGTACAATTTCGTTCCTGAACAAAAATGGAAGGAAGATAGTAAAAAAAGTAGAAAATGATATTAGATTTATTTGAGGAAGTCTAGACCTCCATTGTTGAGTTTTTGGATACATTTACTGTAAGTAAATTCTTCGTACTTTCCTAGTCGTTTTATTGTTTAAATACAATAACTATGAAACAAAAAACTGCTAAAAATTACTAAAACTATGGAAAGACATCCCAACAAAAGAAGCCCAAACAAGAAAAGCTAACTAGATAAAATAGGCTTCATACTGAAACAAGAAAGTCTAACTTGTAATTACAAAAAGTCTTCAAGATGAAGCCCACAAAGAGACGTTAAATCTAACAAAAGATCAAACGTCTTCCCAAGATCTCTCACTCCTCTAAAAATTCTACTAATTCTCTCTAGCCAAATGTCCCACAAAACGGGAAAAACCCCTAACTCAACATATAACATGATTGTAATATGTAACACAATCGAATGGCATAAAGAAATTAATAAATATGCCTAAAAAAATAATAAATAAAACCTTCTTTCAGGCTTACATCCAGGAAGCTTATATAAAATGCTTTATCAATTGAGCTGTTGGTGTCAAAAGTTGATTTAGCTTCCACAGCAACAAGAACTTGAACTGATTCAGAACCCTCTGCCTCCTTTGTGTAACCATCCTATGTGCATTGTATGAGACTCTTTTAGCATATACTCTAGTTACAAAACTCGTTGGATAACCACTTTGTTTTTTGCTATTGAAAATTTATAAGCTTTGAAATGGTATTCTACCCAAATATTTCTTTGTTTTATTATCTATTTAAAAAATGTTTTCAAAATCTAATCTAAATTTAGAAAACTAAAAGAATTAGTTAAAAAAAAAAAAGGCTTGTTTTTGCTTTAGATCTTTGGCTAAGAATTCATGTATTTTTAAGAAAGGTGAAAAAGATACCAAAAGAAGAATAATTGTAAGAATTAAGAAAGCAAACATGCTTTTTTAAAATATAAAACTAAAAACGAAATCGCTATCAAACGGGGCTAAACTGAACTCTTTATACACTAACAAGCAAATTCCCACCTTGGTTAAAACTTAGAACAATAAGTTGCTCTTCATTGGAAAATATTGGACAATCATCAAAGTTCCTCAACATTTAAAAAGGCCACATACCTGACACTTTCCTTTTCCAGTTGCAATAAGGCAGAATGGATCCAGCATTCCCGTCTGAACATGACCACTGTGCACCCCATTCTTTTGGACACCAAATTTTGGGACTAAATGCCCGTCGACAAGTGGATTTGATCCATCCGAGATCCCATAAGGTTCATTCGATGTAACAATAGTGATATTTATGTATTCCATCTTGGAATATGCATTACTTCCACCCCCTTTATCCAAATTATGCATTTGAGACAAAGATACACCAACCATAAAAGAATCCCACATCGAATAAATCTGTGAAAATTCTAAGTCACTACAATATGAACATGTTAAATTTGTAGTTCTTTTTTTTAACTTAGCTTGAGAAGCTATATAAAACAGGCATCTTTCTCATGAAAGATAATTTGAATCAGTTATGGAAGATTTACTTCAAAAAATCCGTTGTTAGCCCAAGTATCGCGAGCCATTTTCAAGGACTGGAAACAATATTGAGCCTCATAAGTGTTATGTCTCTGTTCAAATGCCAAAAATACATTCTTATCCACAGGAATGGTACTTGTTGCATCCAGAGGAACGAGTGTAACAGGAATTCCAGAATGTAGTACCTGTTTCTCAAAGAAGCCAACACTTTAATATCAGATGCAGATCCAAAATTTCACAAAAAGAAATAATACGACTATGTATTCGAGCTTGTAACCATGCCAAAAATACTTTTGTCATGGCAAAAAGCACTTCTCACTAAGAAGTTCATATTTGGAAGTAATATAAAGTATTTCATAAAAAAATTCAAAAGCACGTTGAAGTATTTTCGACCCAAGTGAGAAACAACAAAGCACTCTAAAGTACCCTGCCTTTGAAAGTACTTTGAACTGAATATCAAAATCATTTATAATGAAAGCACTCACAAATGCACCACAGACATATAATGCAAATATACCAAAACTCTACTAGCAGGAGGATATATGATAAACAAAAGGAAGAAAGAAAAACAATGAAAGAAGGTCTTAATATCAGAGATATATAACTTTTCAAAAGTTGTACTGCAACCACTAACATGTTAGTCAATTTGTATCAAAAGCATTAGGCACCAATTTAAACTAAGCTTTCTTTAGCTACTTTCCATGTTGAGTTAGCTGTAGATAAACATATGATAAAGAACATTTGACACACATCATTCATCATATTATACCGATTGTTTCGTAGATTAGAACACTAATAATTGACTTATAACGGCAGGAAATAGGAATTACTGTATAGGCAGCAAAGGGGTCTCCAAATATATTGAACTCAGCATATGGGTTTGTATTTGGAGGCCACAAGTTTCCAATATTGTTGCATGTCTTCCCATGAGATTTATCAGAGCAAATTTCTCTAATAGCACCACCCATGGCATAGATATGCTTTATATTTTTCTTCAAGTGAGGATTTGTCATAAGAAATATGGCCAAGTTTGTGTGAGTTCCCATTAGAAAAACTGTAGTAGGCCCTGCAGATATTGCATCTTTCAATACTTGCTGTGCAGTTGGCTGCTTCACAGGAGTGTATCTCCTATTACCCTGTCAAGTGTCAACACATTTAAACAAATGAAGTAATGTACCAAATGCACAATGGAATGGATTGGAAAATTGTTAGAAAAAAAACCAAGTCCATGCAGTCTTGAATAAGTAATAGTCGCGAATTTGGTCGCTATAGTTTTAGAAGTTTCGATTTGGTCCATATGATTTGGTAAATCTCTCAAAAGCCTCTTGATGTATCAAATGTTTGACAGATTTCTTATGTGGCACATGTCTTTTGAATGCCAACAAAGAAAACATCCTACATAAGAGAACTATTAACTTTTGGAGATGTCAAGAGGGTTTTGGGAGTTTAACAAATTAAAACTATGGGTAACAAATTGAAAATTTTAAAAACATAAGGACTGAATTGAAATTAAGAACAAACCATAAGTAATTAAAATGCTGATGGTTTAAATCTTATTTTTTAGTCCCTAAACTTTCAGCTTTATTCTATTTTAGTCCATAAACTTGCCATTTCTGTAACTATTTTGGTCCTCGAACATTAAAACAATAATCATTTTGGCCCTTGTTAATTTTTCCACCTAAAATTTACTTCCCAATTTTTCGTTTCAACCCATAGGATCCAAATACGTTCTCATGTTAAAACGTTAGTATACATCAAGAACCAAAATGTTTACTTTGTAAAGTTACTAAAACGAGCATTTTAAAAGTTTAGAGACCAAAATGGAATAAACCCAAAAGTCCTAAGGACTAACATGGACTAACATGGAATGACATTCAAAGTTCAGGGACCAAATTGGGATTAAAACCAATGGCAAATTCAACCAATAAGTTATGTCAAGTTCATGGGAGAGCAACTCAAATCCAAGCTAAGCAAGGTGATAAAAGGCTCTTCTCTTGAATCATAGGGGTGAACATAAAAGAGTTCATAGGAACCATGAGGATTTACAAGAAGACCCATCCAATAAATCCAAGTATTTTGTGCATTGAAGGAGCAAATGCGTAAAATAGGCAATCAATCTTCAAACCCAAGCGAAATCAGTTGGCCATTGCCACATTTTTCAATTCAGAATGAAGAAACTGTAAAAATCAGAGAGAGAAAGAGAGAGAGAACCTGAGGCAGAAAGGCTTTACGTAAACCAAAATTGGTATTGGCATAGAGACGTCCCTTCTCTCCCACTGGAATCGCTTGCCTGTATCTGCAGTGCCCAGCCGTTGACATGCCCTGCCCAACGACGCCGTATCAATGCCATATTCATCGACACTTCACCTCTTGTCGTTTCAATCTAACGCATTGTCGTTCGACCTACCAGTCGCTTCGTTTGTTTTCCAAACCACTCACTTTTGCCCACATACTTTTTCTAATTTCCTATCGTGATTTTATGGGACTTTGCTTTAATTTTTTTTAAATATTGGTTAAATTGTTAGAAAAATAGCGGTTGATTTTATTTTAAAAATATCTCTATCCTTTCAAATTTTCATAAACCTTTCAAAAATACTATTTGAATAAACATCTATTAATATTTTGAATGAAAAATTGACGTGATAGAATCTAGAATAACATGATAATTAATGTGAACCCTGACGTTTGCCCCAAAGGTTTAGAGGCCTTAGTCGACCACTACCAAATAAAGAGGATCATGGAACGAAACTGTTCCAATAAAGAGGATCATGGAACGAAACTGTTCCAATCCTCAGGGTTTTCTTTTCTATTGTCTACCAATTTTGTCCTAATCTCTTTTTTAAAATACTAGTTTTTTTCCTACTTAATCCAAAAAATGCCCCACATTAATTGTCATGTTGCTAGATTGTAGCATGTTAAATTCTGTTCAACATATTAACAAGGTTTGTTCATAAGGTTTTTCTTTCTTTTGAAAAGTCGGTAAAGATCAATAGTAGTATTTGAACTTTTAAAATGATAAAGGTATTCTTTAAACAAATGGCAAAATTTAGGGATAATTTTAATAATTTAACCTAATATATAATATGATACTAAATATAATTTATGTTTAAATCATGTTTTGATCTTATTTCAAAAAAAAAAATTCTTATTTTGATCCGGATGCTTTTATTTCTTTGTTCATTTTAGTTTTTATATTTTTAAAATATTCATTTTAGTCCTTATACATTCAATATATGTTTAAGTTTATTATGTTTGGTTTTTTTTTTCAATTTAATCTCTATTGTTTAAAATTTTCAATTTCATCCCTTATGTATTAATATTTTTCAATTTTTTCTGTCAATGTTAACAAATGTTAAAATTGGTTAATAATAAACTTACACAACACAATACTCAGTTCAAGAGAAAAAAGTCAATCCAAGATAAGAAATTTGAGATTTTTACCAATTTATTAGAAATTTTGTAGAAGTGTCGAAACTTTCATCAATGATATAGTTAGATGAGTGTTCCTTCTTTCTAAATTGATAAGTTTATCGTAAATCAATGTTAGCATTATTCACCAACCAACAGCGAGTTACTAAATTTAAAAAATATTAAAATATAAGAGATTAAATTGAAAAGATAATGATAAATAATTGAGAAATAATTAAAAAGAAATAGAAAAGAAAAAATTAGGATATTTTGGAAGAGCAAAGTACGGGGTTAAATGTAATTACCTGGTCAATAAGTGGTAGAAAGCCACCGACGTCAACATGAGGGGAAATAGAAACGGTATCATTTGGGGAAATGCCGCCTTCTCCGCCGACACCAACCGGGATGTCGTCTCGGCCCATCATGAACAACATGTCGTACACGTGGTTCACCGCATGCCCCGCTTCACTCCATCCATTCCCATTTATTGTTATTGCCTATACACACCACATCATCCACAAAATAACTCACATCATCCACAAAATAACTCACCAAACCAATACTTATCATCTCATTTTCAAGGTTGAGTGGATTAAATCAGGTCGGATTGGGTCGGGTCGAATTTTCATATTGGTCGGATCACCAACCCAAATGATCTAATACACACATTTGGGTTAGGTCAAATCCAAGTTGATTATCCATTCATATTGGAAGGAAAAGATCGACGAGAATTAAATTGGACATATCGCTAATGGAAAATAAAATACTTTATGTTAGGTTTATAAGGTGAGTGCAAGAAAAGTCCCACATTGGCTAGGGAAGGCAATGATCATGGGTATATAAGATAGGACAATTATCTTCATTGGTATGAGGCCTTTTGGATGAAATCAAAAGCAAAGTCGTGCGTGCTATGCCCAAAGCGGACAATATCATACCATTGTGAAGATACGTGGGGTACTACCGTTGTCCTTACCACTTATGGAACTGATTTACCACAACAGAACGGTGTCACATCTGCGCTCGTCAAGCCAACTTAGCTTTTTGGTAGTTGAAACTGCGGTTGAAGCGGACATTTCGAAATGACAGCATCGAAGATATATATAGATATAGATATATATACACGGTCACGCTTATCCCGGACTGCGTTCCGGAAAAAGTGGCCTACTTGAAAGAAAGGGCGGGCACTCTCGTGTTTCAACCCCACTATACTATTCATAGTTGTGGGGCACTGTATACTGACAGCCTCTACGATAAGCAAGTGAATGGGGCCGGTGCGTGGCGAACGGAACGGTTCATCAAGCCATTTCTCGCCTCAACCCCCTAAATAGGAAGAGGGGTACTTTACAAATAGGGGGTAATTGCTTCGCACCTGACTGTGATAGCCCTCTCGATACCTTATTGGAGCTTTGTTACTAGTGGCCGATTTCCCGTCGCGTAAACAAGAAGATTATGAGAACCAAGAACGTGATCTTCAATGAAAAAGTCTTATACAAAGACAGATAAAGTTGATTTAGGAAAGACAGAGTTAGATGAGATCATAGAGAAGACTCAGTATATAAGTCCTCCTGAGGTTGAAGAAACAGTTGTGGGATTTGATGAACATGTTGTGGAAACTGATGAACTAGAGTTGTGGAAACAGACCACCACAGAGGTATTCCCCTACATTAAATTACATTTTACTGACTGACAGAGGTGAACCTGAATGTTATGAAGAAGCGATTCAGCTGGAAGACTCTGTTAAGTGGGAGTTGGCCATGAAAGATGAAATGAATTCTCTAATGATCAATCAGACATGGCAACTTGCTGAGTTATCAAGAGGTAAGAAAGCTTTGCATAATAAATGGGTATGTAGAATCAAATAGGAGCCCAACAGTAGTAAAAGGTACAAGGCAAGGCTTGTAGTCAAAGGCTTTCAACAAAGGGAAGGTATTGACTTTAATGAGATTTTCTCTCCCATAATTAAACTAACTACCCATTAGGACTGTTCTATCGATAGTGGCAGAAGAAGATTTATTCCTGGAACAAATTGATGTAAAAATAGCTTTTCTCCATGGTGATTTTGAGGAAGAAATTTACATGGTGCAGCCACAGGGATTTATAGTACAAGGGCAAAAGAAAATGGTATGCAAACTTCAGAGAAGCTTGTATGGTTCAAACAGGCACCCAGACAATGGTATAAGAAGTTTGACAGTTTTATTTGCACTAGTAGATTTCAGAGGTGTCAGGCAGATCATTGATGTTATATAAGAATTCAGGGTAACTCATTCATCATTTTATTGCTATATGTTGATGACATGTTGATAACATGACCAAACAAAGAAGAAATTTTGAAGATAAAGGCTGAATTATCTAAAGAATTTGACATGAAAGATTTGGAAGCTGCCAAACAAATCCTAGGGATGAGGATAGAGAGAAAAGATGGTATTTTGACACTGTCATAGAAAGAGTATGTTAATAAAGTATTGAACAAGTTTAACATGGAAAATGCAAAACCTATGAATACTCCTTTAGCTAGTCATTTTAAATTATCTAAAAAGCACTCACCGACTACTGAACAAGAAAGAGATCATATGGCTAGAGTGCCATATGCTTCAGCTACAGGAAGCTTGATGTATGTCATGGTTTGTACAAGACCCGATATTGCACATGTAGTGGGAGTTGTTAGCAGGTATATGAGTAACCCAAGAAAGCAACATTAAGAAGCTGTGAAGTGGATATTCAAATACTTGAGGAAGACGACTGATTATGCTCTGCACTTTAAAAGATCAGATTTTAAACTGCAGGGATATGTAGATGCAGATATGGCAGGGGGTACAGATGGCAGAAAGAGTACTACCAGATATGTTTTTACATTGGGTAATACTGCAATTAGCTGGGTCTCAAAACTGTAGAAGATAGTAGCACTTTCTACTACAGAAGCTGAGTACGTTGCAGTTACTAAAGCAAGCAAAGAAATGATATGACTTCAGTCTTTCTTGGCAGAACTTGGCTTGAGATTGGGAAAAGGGACTTTGCATTGTGATAGTCAGAGCGTTATTCATTTAGCAAAGAATCCAGTGTTTCATTTGAGAACGAAACATATACAGATAAGATACCATTTTATCATATCAGCTTTGGAAGATGGAATGTTGTTACTCGAAAATATTCCAAGTTGTTAGAATCCAGCAGATATGTTTACTAAGATCGTCCCTGTAGATAAACTGAAGTTGTGTGCAACTTCAGTTTAGACTTCTCTAAGACTAGAGAGGAGTCGCTACCGTTGTAGAGGAGACATATTGTTTGCTTTGTCTCCCACATATTATTTTATTTAATCCTTTTAAGTGTAGGTTGCATTTTTTTTCACAACAAGTGGTATCAGAGCCATGGTCTAAAACCTAGCTGTATCGGTGAATCCTCGAGTACTGACCAAAGAAGTGGTGAGTTTCGAAAGGTATAGCCATAGTGTAATCCGTGAGTGTACTCTATCAGGTTGTGCCTAGAAGCCTTAGATAAGAGCAAGCTATTGTTTTTTATCGCCGAGAGTAGACGGATGAGTGACTACTTGAAGGGAGGCTCGGTGGTACTTTGTTCGAGGGGAGAATTGTTGGGTCTGTAAAGTGAGTACAAACAAAGTCCCACATTGGCTAGGGAAGGGAGTGATCATGGGTATATAAGATAGGACAATTATCTCCATTGGTATGAGGTCTTTTTGGTGGAACCAAAAGCAAAGCCATGCGGGCTATGCCCAAAGCAAACAATATCATACCATTGTGGAGTTACGTGGGGTACTCGAGGTACCGTTGTCCTTAACACTTTTTCACGATGGTGTCAGAGGTTTGTTGGATTGAAATAGGTGTTAGGAACTTAATCACATGGGGATGGAAAAAGGAGTTTGGATTTGAAAAAAACGAGAATGCAAGAATGAAGTTTGAAGAGGAAGAGGTGAAAGATATAGAGCATAAGGTAAAAAAAAAAGTGTTTTTAATAACTTTTTCAACTTCAAAAAATTCCTAATATCTCTTTAAATTTTCAATTTCGTTATTGAATATTAAAAGTATCTGATCTTCCATGACTAAATTTGTAATTTAATACTCGTGAATCATAACTCTTATGGTTTTATTAAATCTTAAATAATAGGTAACCACTATAGTTTGAAGTAATTTCATTTCAATTCTAGTTTTGCTCATTCGGACTACTCACCAACCCATAAGGGTTGGTTAGGGGTTATCTTGAAACCGACTAAATGATACAAAATGACTCTAACATATATAAGTTGACTTAACTATAATGGTTTGCCCTAGTGGTCCATAAGAGTCGGGAATAGGTTCAACCCATGGTGGCCACATACCAAACTTTCTAAGGAAGGCTAAAATAATTCAAATGGAATGGTTAGGTAGAGCTGGAAATTTTAAAATGTTGGAGAAAACTTGAAACCACTATGTGTTAAAGTCAACTTGAGGTCAACTAAATTGGTTAAAACATAAATTCTCAATCATAAAGTCGTAGGTTTGAACCTCGCCCTCGTATGTTGTTATACTTAAAAAAAACATATACTTGTTTTACAAATTTAAAAAAATATGTATATATAATTTAACCTGAAGAAATCAATGAAATTATGTTTGGATTTTTTTTTTTTTGAAACATTGTTATTCATTTTTGCTTTCCTTTATTATATTTTTAGAGATGGTTTTTATTTTTAGAACCAATGAAGTTATTATGAGCTGTGAATAGTATATTCAATGTCGATAATAATAATAACACTAATATTTAGGGAGTCGATAGTTCTTCAAAACAATTTTGAAATCAATTCACCAAATAAATCCTTAATCCTCCAAAAAGATACAATAATATAGGCAAACATATATTAAATATATATTTTTTTAAATAAAATACCAAAATAAAAATATTATATAGTACATTTAGGATAGTCTAACTTTTCATATTAAAAAAAAAGTTACAACAAACCAAGTCCTAGTAGTAGTAATAATAAACTAAAAAAAAGGTAGTTATATTAATAATAATAATAAGTTACATACTATATAATAATAATAATTACTATTATTTCCGGGTATTTTTTTAAAAAGAAGTAAAAGTAAATACATGTTTAATTTAGCTAAAATTATAATTTTTAAAGTTTATTTAGGTATAGTTCAAAACGGGATGAGAACTCATGAGGAAAGTTTAAGTTTTCAAATTTTTAATAAAATTTTTAAAAAATTATAATTATATTTTGTTTGTAAATAGAAGTACATGAATTAATAACAAATAAATGGTGAAGGCCAAAAAATTAAATCCAAATTTGTGTAAAAAAAAATAATAATAATAAATCCAAACAAAAGAAGGTCATAGTTTTTTTTTCCTTGTAGAGTTAGAAATACTTCAAATTTAGTATACTAAGTTACTAAGTCTTAATTATTATTTTTTATTTGTGTATTTTCATGTCCGGGAGTGAGAAAAAAATAATGTGAGAAGTATAAAGCTTTGAGAGATTATTTTTTTTGTAACTTGGGAGTTTCAATTCTGTGTGAGTGGGATAATTTTTACATAGAATTTTTTTTTTTTTTTGTGGGTCTTAATTTTTTCTTTGGATTATTGGCAGTTTATTGATTGTAAATTAACCTGATTTGCCAAAGTAAATTTAATAACATCTAGATTTTGATCTATTAAAACTTAATTAGGATAATTTAGGACAAAGGATGAAGATGGTAATTCAGAAAGAAATTGAAATTGTAATTTCATGGAATGATATCAATAAGTAGTTAAAGAGAATGGTGTCTCCAATAAATGAGGAATTCTAATTCATTTGTGTTTAACCAAAAAAAGAAAAAAAAGGGTAAGATTCAGGAAAAGGTCAACAAATCCCATTTTTCCAATTTTGTTAATTTTTCCATCACTCATTCAGTCACTTCTCTCTCCCTCTGCACTTACAAACACAGACTATAATACTTTGGGCAAATTTTACTTTGGGTTCTTAAAATTTGAGTTTAATGTGTATTTGATGGTTGAAATAATAATTAAAAAAAACACACACCTTTAGTCCATAAAATTAAATTTTGAAAAATAGATTTAAATGGTTTTGGAGGTTAGTTGACCGCAAGTACACTAATGAAAAGGTGACATGACCATCATTTGGGACTATGATTATGTGGCAAAATTTATATTGTACATTTTAATGATTGGACTGTGAGGTGGAAAAATGATGTGGCATTGCAAATTTGGCATTCTAGATCTGGGATGACGATCTTCGTTTGGATCCAAGTTCACGTTCGAAGGTTGTGTTGCACATTTGGAACACGAATTTGGTTCAAGATCTAGCATTTYAGATTTGGAACACAACATTTGTTCAACAAAGGTTGTGTGCTCGAATTTGTTTTAAATTTGACGTTTCAGATCTAGAACGAGGATCTTTGTTTGGAACAAAGGTCGAGTTCAAGTGCATTCCAAATCTAGTGGTCTTTGAACGAAGATCTCTCAAAACAATGGGATCCAAACGGAGAGAAGAGGGGGAGATATAGCAAACGACCAACAGCAAGAAGCGTAGGATAAATTGTGATGATGGAGAAGGATAAATTGTGATGACGGAGAAGAGAACAGTTATGACTAGGTTTGTCGAAGGAGAAGGAGGGAGGAGGACCATCATTTAGAACAATTTTTCAAATTTCTAAAACTTTAAAGGATTACAAGTACTGTCTTGTTTGAAACTTTAGGAACAAAATGGACATTAAATTCACAAATTTCAAAGACCAAAAGAATACTTTAACTTAATGCTTTCATATTTGGACGTTAATAATTTTGAATAAAAGGATGAATTTTTCAACCCTATGAACTTGACGAATTGAATCATTTTAACATAAAATTTCAATTTCTTGCAATTTAAACTTTCACTTTCATAAGTGTTGCAATCTTTCCCTTTAAATTTTAAAAGTATTGCAATTTTTACCTTAAAAAGGTATTCTCTTATAATGTTAAATGAATTATGAAACCTACCTTTAATATGAAATTGATAGGATTCAAACAAACAAGTGATTTTTTTTTGTTGAAACTTGTAATTTTTATTAGAGTTACTCAATGATTGATTTTTTTATATTTAATCATACATATCTTTTTCAAAGCTTGATTTTGATTAAATTAGTGAGTTTTTGAAATTTTTTAACCTCTCATTCTAAGCAATACTATTTTCACGATCATGTATCATCCAATAATCAAACCTTAAACTAAATGATATTAATCAATTCCGAGCATATCACAACATAATATATACTAAGACATCGGTAACCCTTCCTACCAGTCAAAAGTTCAAATTCCCGCCCCCACACATTGGTAAAATAAAAATTAGGGTTTTTGGGGAGGGGATTCATTCATGCGAAGAAAAGGCATGGCAAGAAGAAAGATGAAGGGGGAGAGAGAGAATAATTTACCTGAAGATGAAAGAGAGAGGTGGGTTGCTTGAGAAGATAGAAAATAGCAAAGACATCATCAGTATCAACATCTGTATCCACAACAATCCTTCGAGTTTGAAGATGAAGCTGGTGGGAGTGAAGAGAAGAATTTACCAACCAAACCACTGATCCCAACATCACAACCACACCCACCACTCCACAAATAAACCAACTCTTCCAGTAATACCCTCCTCTAGTACTTCTCACCATCTCCATCATCATCACCATCATCTTATCTCTACAAAACCCAAAAACCAAATTTATTCTTCTTACAGAAACAAGGAAAGATGATGCATGATTTCATAAAGTCAAAATTTTATTGATTTATATGATCATGTGTGTGTGTGATTGTGGTCAAGAAAATGAGAGATATTATTGCATTATTGTTGCTGCTACTGATCATTTGGAATGCTGATGATGGATTCCTTGAAAATTCTTTCATATTCCAAAAAAATCTCTCTCAATATGGCCAAGTGTTTGTTGATGGGGTTGGAAAAATGCTTTGAATTGGGGTTTTCTCAATCTCCACTTACTTGGTGGGGTGTGAGAGAGAGAATTGATGAGAGTGAGAGGTTTTTTTCTTTTCTTTCTTCCTTTTGAAAATGCAAATTGGTGATAGGATGAATTATTAGTGTTTCGTGCTATTCCACCTTTGAAAGAGGACTTCTTATAACAACTGACAAGTTCTTTTCCCTCGACTAATCTTTGGAAGGTAGATGATATTTTGGGATATTTTATTAATTCCCTTCTGTTGGATCTCATATATCATTCTTAAGAATGATGCTGGCGTGACTGAATAGGAAAATTTTTGGATTGTTACCTTATCAGACTAATATACCATATAAATGATGGATTATTATGGTATGTTCAGTGTTTCTAAGGTATTATAATTTAAATTCTTCTTTGTCATTTTCTAAAGGAGTACATAAAACTCAAAACTAACAAAAAGAAAATTGAGAAGAAACCAAAGACTCGAGCTAGAAAGTAGTGTTCACGGGTTGGATTGGGTCGGGTTGGGAATTTGTGGGAACCGACGGGTTGTAAAACGATGGCCAACCCAACCCAATAAATTCGGGTTGGGTTACCGGGTTCTTCTTTTTTT